TTGAGGTTTGTTTGTGCCCCAGGATATGGTTTTTTATTCATATCCTGTGGGCACTTGAAAAGAACGTACATCCTGCTGTTGTTGGGGGAAATGTCCCATAAATGATAATTAGATAATATTGATTGATGGTGTTGACTCCTTTTATACCCTTGCTGATTTTATGTCTAGTTCTATAAATTGCTGAGAGGAGACACTGAAGTCTCCAACTATAAGTGTGATTTGTCTGTTTCTCTTTGTTTCACATGTGTTGCAGTTCTGTTGTGTATAAGCATTTAGGACTGCTATGTATTCTTGGTAGATTGACCCTTTCATCATTATGTAATGTTCCTGTTTCTGGTAATCTACTTTGCTGTGATGTCTGTTTTATCTGATATTAATATAGCCATTCCTGCTTTCTTTTAACTAATGTTTGCATAGTATATATTTTTGATCCTTTCACTTTCAATATGCTTATTTTGTTATATTTGAGGTGAGTTTCTTGCAGAGTGCATATTGTTGAGTCTTATTTTTAGTTCATCTACCAGTTTCTGTCTTTTAATTGGTGTTTTTAGACTATTTGAATTTATTGCAATTATAGATATATTAGGCCTTAAGTCTGCCATTTAGTTTTTGTTTTCTGTTCTTTTTCATTTCTCAATTTTCTTCTCCTTACCTTCTTGCGGGTTACTTGAACACTTTTTAGAATTTCGTTTTGACGTATCTTTAGTGTTTTTGAGCATATTCCTTTGTGTAGCTTTTTAGTGGTTGCTCTAGGTATTGCATTATATGTATGTAACTTTTCACAGTCTACCAGTGTTATTTTATAAGTTCAAGTAAGATATAAAAACCTTACTTCCCAGGCTGGGTGCGGTGGCTCACACCTATAATCCCAGCACTTTGGGAGGCCTAGGCAGGCATCACAAGGTCAAGAGATTGAGACCATCCTGGCCACCATGGTGAAACCCTGTCTCTGCTAAAAATAGAAAAATTAGCTGGGTGTGGTGGCATGCACCTGTAGTCCCAACTACTTGGGAGGCTGAGGCAGAAGAATCGCTTGAATATGGGAGGCAGAGGTTGCAGTGAGCCGAGATCACAACACTGCACTCCAGCCTGGCCACAGAGCTACACTGTCTCAAAAAACAAAACAAAACAAACAAAAAAAACCCCACCTTACTTCCCTTTGTCTTGTTATCATCCTCCATATATAATATACTTGCATTAAATATTTTGTTTACATATATTTAGAACTATAATAGACAGTGTTATAATTTTCACTTCAACTCTTAAACATAATTTAGAAACTCAAGAGAAGGAAAGTCTATCATATTTCACAACATAATTCACTTCTTGTGTTTTCTTTTCCTTCCTGATGTTACAAGTTCGTTCTTTTGTTTCCCTTCTATTTAGAGAACTTCATTTAGCCATTCTTTTAGGTCAGGTACATTTGATATATTGTTAGCTCTTTTTAAAAAACAGAGAACAGGGTTCCACCTCTGTTGCCTAGGCTGGTCTTGAACTCCTAGGCTCGAGTGATCCTCCTGCCTCAGCCTCCTGAAGTGTTGGGATTACAGACATGAGTCACTGTGCCCAGCTTATTCTTGGCTTTGATTTATCTGAGAGTGTATTGTTTCTCCTTCTCATTCCTAAAGAATATTTCCCTTTGTATAGAATTCTGGGTTGACAGCTCTTTTCATTCAGTGTTAGAAAAATATTGTGCCACTTATTCCTGGCTTCCTGGTTTCTGATAAGAAGCTTGCTGTCATTCCAGTTAGTTTTCCTTTAGAAGTACGGTATCAATTTTCTCTGGCTGCTTTCAAGATTTTTTCTTTGCTTTTTGTTTTTCAGAAATTTAATAATGATATGTTGGTATAGATTTCTTTGGGTTTTCCTGTTCGGGATTCAATCGGCTTTTTAAATCTGTAGGGTTATGTCTCTTTCCAAATTCAGAAAGTTTTCAGCCATTGTCTTTTTGAGGACTTTTTTTCAGCCTGCCCCTTTCTTTTCTCCTTCTGAGTCTTTGATTACTTGAATGCCCCATCTTTTGCTGTAGTACTATATGCCCCTAGTGCTCTATTTTATTCATTTCCTCAGTCTTTTTTCTTTCATTCAGATTAAATAATTTTAGATAGAATAATAATAATTCTATCTACAAACACTGATGGTTTTCCTCTGTCCCTTCGATTTTACTGTTGAGCCTAGCCACCAAGCTTCATATTTTAGTTTTTCCATTTTTCAGCTCTAAAACTTTTGTTTAGTTCTGTCTTCTAATTTTTTGCTGTGACTTTACCATTCTGTACTGAGACTTATTTGTCTCAAGCATGTTCATAATTGATTGTTGAAGCATTTTTCTGATCTTCCTTTAAAATCTTTGCCATAATTCTAACATCTTTGTCATCTTGGTGTTGTAATCTGTTGATTAGGTTTTTATCCCTCACTTTTTAAAAATCTTATTTTTAGTGTGATGACTGATTTTTTATACTTTTGATATTATGAGACTTGGGATTGTATTTAAACTTTGTTTTCAGCTGGTTTCCTTTGACCAGCTGAAAGTGCAGGAGAGAAGGGAGTGCTGCTTTACTGCTTCCTGGTGGCCGCTATTAATGCCCCAGGAAGGGTCTCTCAGGTATTGGAGTTCTAGCTCCCTCTGTGACTTCCACTAACACTGTGACCAGGGAGGCCTCATTATCACTGGATAATGGCACAAGCCCTGACTCTCTACTTTTCTTCCTCTGATTTTGCTATAGCAGGGAGGTAGTGGTAGTGGTGGTGGTAGCAGCATCAGGGAGGGGAGAGGTTATTACTGCCAGGTGTGGGATGTCCAGACTTTCCATGTGGTTTCCACTGACACCATGAGGTGGAAGAGGGTTTGGGACTACCCTGTGGGGATGAAAATTCCCAGCTCTCTGCTCTGTCATCTCTGATACCAACCAGCAGGAGGTTGGGATGTCTTGATCCATCCTGGCAAAGATGGAGCTCTGGACTCCCCATTCAAACTTATGCTGGTGTGGGTGGGGCCAATTTTTCCTTGTTGTTTTGCTAGTGCATAGGATTTATTGTTAAAGTTTTCTGTTTTGCTGTGCTGTCCCTTTCCTGGTCCTTTGGCTAAAGAGCAGGCTTTTGTGGACTCTTCTGGCCTGTGACCATTGGTGTTTATGGGTTGCTGGCTTCTTTATTTCCAAGTCTGGAATATACGATGGGGAAGGAAAATCTGTAGAACTCATCTCTGTATCCTCCCTTGGAATCTGAGGTTCCCTAGCCAGTCTGCCTTCTCTACACCTTTCTTTGCATCTTTCTTTTATGTGTACTGCCCAGGGATTTTAGTTGCTCTTAGTGGGAGGAGTAGAGAAAAAATGCCTATTCCATCTGACTCAAAGATAAAATTCTATGTATCACTTTTGAAATAATACATCTTAAGACAATGGAATATATTTTTGGCAAAGGGTTTTTTGGATAACTGGTAAATATGGCTTCTACATTTATTGCAATTTTCTTATCTGTTTTCTAGTCAGTGGGCTGTACGTGTATGTACACAAGCCCTTTCCTTAAAGAAAACTAGAATGTCAATTTTAAAAAAGAACTTGCTATTGATTTGATTCAGCAATAAAAATGCATAATGCAGCAGTAAGGAGAACATGATCTCTGTCTTGTAATCTGTGGCATTTCCATTAAGAAGCATGTGCTTACTAAAGGTCTGCAGCTGTTAGTGTATTAATGGAAATAAGATGGAGGGCCCAAGAAGTCAGCCAGGAAATTAATAGGATCATGTCCTGGTAGGTGCTTTGATCAGCCAAGAATGAGGAATATAGAAAAAAACGTTTTTAATTTCTGTACTACTTTTTCTTTGCCACCTCTCCCAGAGGCCCTGGACTCTTGGCTTAACTATCCTAAATAGTCTTGTGTGGCTGGCTTAATTAATCTTCACTCTGCTTTCTGGGAAATACATTTCATAATTTATATGGGTAGCTAAATAAAGATCTTGAAGACACGTACCCAATATTAATCAAACTAAGACTTGCCTTCTTCTCAAAGTACTAGAGAGTCTTTAAATTTTATAAAGTTATGCATTGGTTTGGGGGTGTGCTCTGTTTAAGAATGCCCTGTTAATGGGAACAGAAGGGAAGACGGCTACCTCATACCCACTCTTATGGGCAACTACCATTTTGCCATTTTATAAGTATCTGTGCTGTGAAAGCGTGATTTCAATCAAAATGATAACTAATGTGGTATTTTTAAGGCTGTCAAATTTGGTACGTACTTGATTTGATGACTAATCTAACTATTTAAGCTGAATTAAGATGACTAAGTAGCCAATCCTAACAACAAAGAACTCAAAATAGAGGAGTTCGATGTAGTGAGCTGATTCTAAGCAGGTGTTCCTGAAGGCTTGATTTACAAATTCTTGTTGCACTTAATTGTAAATCTTCTTTTCATGTTATTTCAGTGTTTTTGTTTTATTTTCTTGAAAGTAATCTATCATTCATATTTTGATCAGTTGGACTGACAGCTTAAATCCTCAGCAATGTATGGACATCTCTTAATTATGACAAAAGACCTACAGAGCTAAAAATGTTGAATACCAGATGGACACTGAATTCATAAATTAGTTATCATTCATTATCTACCCAAATATATTTTTAAAAAGAAAGCTTTAATTCTTCAGTAGTCTACCTTGCATTGCTTAGGAGACTTACTAACAAATGTTTGTGTGTGTGTGTGTCTCACGAGATCTGATGGTTTTATGAATGGGAGTTCCCCTGAACAAGCTCCCTTGCCTCCTGACATGTAAGATGTGACTTTGCACCTTATTCGCCTTCAGCCATGGTTGTGAGGTCTCCCCAGCCATGTGAGATTGTGAGTCAATTCAGCCTCTTTCCTTTGTAGATTACCCAGTCTCAAGCATGTCTTTATTAGCAGCATGAGAACAAATGAATACAGAGCACAATAAAGAGAATTAGCCATGTGAGAAGCAGTTTGAATTTCAAGCATTGGCTTTGTAATCTGAGTAGGCTTTTGAGCTGAAGTTTGTATTTGAGCTTTTTTTTTTTTTTTTTTACTTAAATTCATGTAATGGTGCTGTGTCTCCTGATCAGCACTCCAAAACTTCACTTTCAGATGACTGCTTATCTCTTTGTGGTGTTTCAACCAGGGCCTCCAAAGTGAATTTTGTGTGACATGGCCTATATTTTAAGTACACATTCTAGATCACCAACTACTGTACACATATATCCATCTGCTTTGTGATTCAGTAATAACCTTAGCCTGGTTGAATGATGGCATATACAAATTTTACATTTCTCGAGTTTTAGTCAATATCATTAATAGATACTTTAATAAGATATGTGATCTAAACTTTTAGTCACACTAAAAATTTTGGTCATAGTGAGCAGGAGTCCTCAACTTTTGTGGCAAATACTAGTCCGTATTATATAGACACTGAAAACTACAATATACATTTATGTGATTTACCATGAATATTATAGATTTTTCAATAATTCTTATCAGCTTCATCAGATGTTGTACTTATGTATTTAATACCTTTTGACCATGCAGACTGAAATGAGATTACCATTTTCTTTCTAGATCTAAAAATGAAATGAAAAAAGATAAGTGTTGTCATTTTTATAAAAAGTCCACAAAATGGGGGATATAATTGCAGAATAAATAATTCCTACAAATCAAGAATAAAATAGGTGCAATCTAATGGAAAATGGGCAAAAGACTGGAATAGGTACTTTACAAGAGAGGATATCTAAATGGTATAACAGCATGAAAGATGCTCAGTTTCATTGGTTGTCAGAGAAATTTAAAACTACATTGAGAATACCACACACAAGAAAAAATAGTAAAAAAAAAGACTTAAGATGCTAACTGCTGATAGAAATGGAAAGCAACCAGAACCCTTCACTGCTGGCAGCAGTAAATATTTCAGAACTCTAGCTGGTAGTATCTACTAACACTGAACATATCCATGTCCTAAGACCCAGGATTTCTAGTCCTAAGTATGTACTTGGCAAACTATAGTTACATATCATCACCAGAAGTTGTACAAGGCTGTTTTGTAATAATCCCAAGCTGGGAAATACCCACATATACATCAGCAGTTGAATGAGTAACTAGTGATGTATCCACACAATGGAATAGTTTTCAGCAAAGAGAATCAACAAACTACGACTGCATGCCACAATGTGGATGACTCTCAGAAAGTGGAGCAAAATAAGCAATAAAGTAACTCATATCTTATGGTTCCATTTATATGAAGTTCATGAATAAGCAAAAACTATGATGTTTGAAGTCAGGATGGTGGTTACTCTATCTTGAAAGAAGTGACTAGAAGGAGGCATAAGGTACTTCTGGAGAACCGGTCATGTTTTATTTCTTGATCTGGGGCTACTTATATGGGAGTATTCATATTGGCCAATTCATTGACGTATAAATTTATTATCTGTTCACTTTTAAAGCTGTTATTTTAATAAAGGTTTAAAAGTTTTCATACCCTATACTGGCAATAACTTTAAATAAAGTGGATTGGGACCCAGGAGGAGTCAGTGCCTGGTTATTTCTCTAGGTTGCTAGTTTCTGATCTTGATCTTGACGTGTTGGATCCCTACTGCGCACAAGGAGGGTGAAGACTTTGGGATTCTCTGTTTGCTAATATTATCCATTGACCTTACAAAATATTAGTGATGATTTGGAGCCAAAACATTTGATTCTTGAAGATACAACATACTAAATGCTTAGGATTAAAAACAAACTTTTGTAAAACAGCAGTTGGTATCATCGTGGTATAGTGGAGGAAACCCTGAATGAGAAGACAGTGGATCCATGTCCTCGCTACTTTTTGTTCTCCTCCAGCTTGATGAATGGGGGCAAGCCTGATCCTCAATTCCTTCTCTCTAGGTTTAATATGTTACCTGCCTGAAGGGAAATGGATGAACTCTTTTCTCTCTAGGGTCTTTTCTGAAATCTGAGATCTACCCTCTCATCTGGTATTGGGGAAGCTCTCAAAGGAAGTGATGTCACTTATTCATACCATCACTGATTTCCAACCTTTTGTTCTGTGGACATGTTCAGTTATAAATATGGCCCAAACACAGTAATAAATAGTTGGCATATAGCTAACTATCATCTTAATGCTGTTGATCATAGGGGATCTCATCTTATCTTCACTCCCAAATTGATTTCTTGGTTTTCTTAGGATTCGTTGTTCTTCTGCAAGGATGCTTTTTAGGAAATGTTCCATATTGGTGAAGAGCAGAAGATCTTTGTTTTTCTTAATATACGATAGAGAATGTGGAGGAGTTAATACTCTTCTTACCATTTATTTTAAGTACCCTTGGATCTTCTTAGCTACAATGTGGACCTGAGAGTACTATGTACAATTTTTCTTTTAAAATAAAGTGAGATGTCTTCATAGATGGTGGTTGTTGGATGACTAACGTTCCTGCTCCACAGCTGTTGCTATATCTTAAGCAAGTTTTTTAAAAACACTTCTAGGCTTCAGTTTCCTCATCTATAAATTAGAAATAAGAGTGGCTTTCACCTTATAAGAGCATGAGAAAATTAAATGAGAAGATTAAATGCATGTAAAACTCTCAATCACAACATGGCATGTGGCACATGGCAAGCACGTAATGTTTGCTATTATCTGTCTTATAGTTAGCTCAGATAGATTGTGACTTTATGTTGCATCAAGGTCCATGTAAATCTATTCATTAATACAGTAAATGCATCTCAAGCCTACTGTGAGCCTGGCACATAGCCTACATCAGGAAATGGAAGCAACACCTCTGCCCTCATGGAGCTTACATTCTAGCTGAGGAAGGAAAGTAATAACAAGCATAAGTAACTTACACAGTGTGTTAGGAAAGAATATAGGAAAAATGAGTAGAGTAAAAGAAACCTGCCAAGTAGGGGGAAAAGAGAGTTGCAAATTAAGATTGGATAGTCAGGGTAGGCCTCATTGAGAAGGTGAACAAAGATAAGAAGGAGGTGAGGGAGTTGGGGGTAGACCAGGCTTGGCATGAGTAACTCTGCTCTGGGAGCTGTCCCGTGCATTGCAGACTGTTTAGCAGCAGCCCTGGCCTCTGCCCACTAGTTGTCAGTGTCAACCCCCTCCCCTGAGTCATGACAATCAAAACCATCTCCAGGTATTGCCAGATATCCCACAGGGGACAAAAAGTGCTCCTTACTGAAAAGCACTGCCCTAGGAAAAAGAGTATTTTTGGCACAGGGAACTCTTGAGAGGAGTGTCCCCAGTGTGCTTGAACAGTGAGAAGGAAAGTGTGATTGGAGTTGAGTTAATAGTTAAAATGCTGAAATAGATATATATTTTTAAAAAGTGCATTATTGTATTTTTTGAGATAGGATCTCACTCTGCTGCCCAGGCTAGAGTGCAGTAGTGCATCATAGCTCGCTTCAGCCTCAGCTTCAAACTCCTGGGGTGAAGGGATCCTTCTGCCTCAGCTTCCTGAGTAGCTGGGACTACAGGTATGTGCCACCATGCCCAGCTGATTTATTTTTATTTTGTAGAGATGGGGTGTCATTGTGTTGCCCAGGCTGTTCCTGAACTCCTGGGCTCAAGTGATCTTTCTGCCTCAGCCTCCCAAAGTGCAGGGATTACAGGTGTGAGCCACTGTGCCTGGCAAAAGGTATTTTGAATATCTTTTTTCTTTTTGAAAAAAATAAAGGTATTAAGGTAATATTTTTTGGAAATAAAAAGGTATTAAGAATGTCATTATCAGCCTGGCGCTGTGGTTCACACCTGTAATCCCAGCACTTTGGGAGGCTGAGGTGGGTGGATCAAAAGGTCAGCAGTTTAAGGCCAGCCTGGCCAAGATAGTGAAACCCCATCTCTACTGAAAACACAAAAATTAGCCAGGCATGGTGGCAGGTGTCTATAATCCCAGCTTCTTGGGAGGCTGAGGCAGGAGAATCGCTTAAACCTGGGAGGTGGATGTTGCAGTGAGCTGAGATTGTGCCCCTGCACTCCAGTCTGGGAAACAGAGAGAGATGCTATCTCAAAAAAAAAAAATCCTTATCAGGCTTGCACAGAAAATAGCACACTGTAAGTTTGGGTAAACATGCTGCCACTTGGGCATCTAAATTTAGTATGAGTTTTACAGATGGAATTCCGCTTAATTATTGATACCATGTTAATGAGACACTAAGTTAACCCACATTTGTATTCCTTGTGACTCAGTCATGTAACTGACTGGAGAATAGGATTTAAAAAATACTGTCATGAGGCCAGGTGCCATGGCTCATGCCTGTAATCCCAGCACTTTGGGATTGCTGAGGCAGGTGGGTTGCTTGAGCCCGAGTTTGAGACCAGCCTGGGCAACCTGACGAACCCCTGTCCCTACAAAAAAATATGAACATTTGCCAGGTATGGTGGTATGCACCTGTTTGGAAGGCTGAGGTGGGAGGATCGCTTAAGCCCAGCAGGTCAAGGCTGCAGTGAGTTGTAATGTCACCACTGCACTCCAGCCTGGGCAGCAGAGTGAGACCTTGTCTCAAAAACAAACGAAAAATATTGTCATATGTGACTTGAGAAGCAGGCTGAATGTCAAGGCAGCGTACCATGTGGGAGGTCATAAATATCAGAATACACTGAGGCATTTACTCTGTGAAGCAGTCCATGTTAGCCAAGGCCATGTGATAGATGTCATAAAGTTAGTTACCTCTTCTAATGATTCTGGCTCCAAGGGAGATGCATGCCTCATTTCGATTAGTTTAGACAGAAGATCTCTCCCTTTCAGAGATGGGCTGCTCTTCCAGCAGAATAGTGCTTATGCTTTGTTCAAGTTTATTGTCCCTGGAAACTGCTGACATTCTCAGTGTGTTAGAGAATGCTTCCCTGATAGGCCTTCAGGCCCTTGGTCAAGGGAAGAAAAGGTGAGGGGAACAGATCAGTAGGACTTCTAGACAATTGCTATTAAAGCTTTAAAATAATACATGAAAGAAAAATGGGGCTTGAGATTTCTCATTTTCACTTGCCCTGCCCGTGGGTTATCACTGTCTCTAGCAGTTTTGGTGCGTTTTATGTGTGGACAGTTATACAGCCACAGAAAGCTGAGATGCTGTGCTCGTAGGAAAACCACTTCTGTGAAGCAGTGGTACGTGCATTTTGTCATATGCTGCCATGGAAAATCTGATTAGGAAAATCCTCTTCCTGGCCAGGCAGGAGGAACCAAAGGCCACAATGGAACTCATGTAGATTTGAAATGTTGCAAAGCTGAAAGCTTTTATTGTCCTGGGGAACAGGGTCTGAGTTGCAGAGAAAGAGAAGCAAAATGCACTGTATATGTCATAAATACCTTGTAAAATGACCCCAGAAAGGCAGGGCTGGAGTCCTGGTAGGGTTCCCCAGCAGTGATGTGGGCCAGGCAGTGGATCAGCAGCAGAACAAAGCTTCCCACAGAGGCCAGGCACTCTCTCCCAATGAACAGTGTGTTCTCAGCACTCTGAGAGGAGAAAACACCCAAGCACAGAGATGTCTGCTTCTGGGAACATTTCCACTGCCCCTTTCTTTCTCAAGGTTTATGGCACATGGTCTAAAACAAGACTCTCTGAGCGTAATGGAAATTTACTGAAGGGAAGATTCGGATGACCAGGGAAAAACTGAGTTCAACTCTAAGTCATTTGCTCCACTGTCTCCCAATTTTTCCTACTGCCTCCATCTTAAAGAAAACAAACTTAGAAATTCAGAGTTACTCATGTATCTATCTCTTTATCAATATCCTCCAATCACTGTTCCTTAAGCAGTGGTTCTTAAACTTTTGTGTAATGAGAATCACAAGGGGGTGATTCTGTTCTCGAGACCCATCCCCAAAATTCTCGTTCTGGGGATTCTATGCACTTCCATTTTTCCCAGGCTCCCCAAGTGGTTGGTACAGGAGGTCTAAGGACCGCAATTTGAGAATCACTGCCTCAGAGAGCTCTCAGGCTTTCCTCATCTTCCATGCCTTACTGTAATCAAGTTTTCAAGTCGCCTCTCTTGCCTATTGATTTAAAATAACTCCCTTGTTCATTCTCTTATGGGAAGGTAGGTTGGCATGAAAAACTTCAGGTAGTTTGGAATCAGACCATCTGAGATCTATCCTTTGACTCAGCTGTGAGTGGCAGCATAGACTCTTGGTTATAAGAATGAGTTTTTGGTGTCAAATATGCCTGGGCTCGAGTCTTAACTCTTGCTAACTCTGTGAACTGGGGAAGTTACTTAGCTTCTCCGGGCCTCATTTCCTAATTCCTAAAACAAAGGTAACAAAAGTACCCCACAGTGTGGTGAATTATAAGTGAGACCATGCCTTTAAAGCACCTGGCGGAGCTCCTGGCACACAGCACTTGCACCACAACCTGATTTTGTTTACCCATCCGTAAAACAGGATTAAATTCTTGTCCGTTTTATAGAGTTGCTTTGAGGATCAAGTGAAATAATGTGTGGAGAGGACCATATGTGAGTAGTGTCTGGTTTTACTAAATCCCCCCGACAACCTAGTAGTCAAGTGTAAATCTTTTTCTAATCCTCCAGCAGAGGAGCAGTTTCTCCTCTCAGAATAGACTGTCATTAGTGTCATCAGGTCTGTATACGCCTGCTTATAGAGTTGCCAGCAAGGCACTTCCAATCTACATATCTGAAGAACTGCCAGGTCAGGAACAATTTAGATCCTTCTCTGTAGAAACATGCTGATGGTGCAGGATTTCCTCAAGCTGCAACCCCAACTCTTACAGGAAATACCAGCCTGGAACCCCTGGCCTTGATAATGACAGAGATCTATTAATGGGCACCAAACTGTTATGCTTCTCTGGGCACAAGCCAGAACGTATTCATTTTACTGATTAGGGAAAGCTCTTACACTGTGACATTTATTATGCCTTAGCTAAATGACTTATTTCCAGGAGGGAATAAAATATGTCAGGATTTTAGGAAAAAAATGATAAAATGTGTTCTTTTTGCTTTTGTTTATCTTTACTGGACTCCAGAATTTTAAAACCCACATATGGGAATGAATCTGCAGCACCTGATAGAAGAAGTCATCTTGGAAGGCACTTCCTTGGGCTTCCATGGCAGGAAGATGAGAAGCAATCTTCAGGGTGATTTCTGGAGCCTGAAAAATATAAAAAACAAAAAAACCATCCTTTTGCTAAAAAATTCTCATGCATCTCAGCTACATAGCATCAATCAAACTGGTGAGAAATAAATGCATCGCAGCATGGCGTGGTGGCTCAAGCCTGCAATCCCAGCACTTTGGGAGGCCGAGACGGGTGGATCACGAGGTCAAGAGATCGAGACCATCTTGGTCAACATAGTGAAACCCCATCGCTACTAAAAATACAAAAAATTAGCTGGGCACGGTGGTGCGTGCCTGTAATCCCAGCTACTCAGGAGGCTGAGGCAGGAGAATTGCCTGAACCCAGGAGGCGGAGGTTGCGGTGAGCCGAGATCGCGCCATTGCACTCCAGCCTGGGTAACAAGAGCGAAACTCCGTCTCAAAAAAAAAAAAAAATTGCAACAGGGTAAGTAGGTTCAGTACACAGGAAAACGGAATGAGCATTTAACCGTACATTTAAGATGTATGCTAAATATGACAACTTATTACCTTTCTAAATAGAGATTGACTAGACTAGAGGGCCCTTGAGCCATAGTGCCTGGATTTTGACCTTGGCTCTGCCTTTTTGGCTGTGTGATCTTGGGGAAGTTTATTCTACCATGGTGTCTCATCTACTCAATTTTAAAATAGGGAAAATAGTATCTGTGTCACAGGGTTTTTGTGAGGATTATATGAATTAGTGTAAATTATTAGAATATTTTCTGGCATGTAGAAAGTGACTAATTCATTCTATCTGTGGTTAATATCATTTGAGAGATTAGGCTTTAGACTGGTAAAATAACTCCCACCAATCCCTTTAAAGGAGAGACTAGAAAGTTTGCTGTTCTAGATGCTTATTCCTGGGGAACATCTGCCATCCCAAAGGCTTTTTCCTGACTACCCTGGCCTTCCAGGCTCCATGAGTAACTGCTCCACAGAGAGGCAGAAACAAGACTTACACGAAGCGGGGGGATGAGGAGGTGCAGGATGGAGAGGCCACAAACTCCCTGGCAGAAAGGCCAATGGGTTGCACAGGTATCAGCTCTTCCTTCTGCACTGTTTGAGGTTTTCGAAGATACTGTAAAGAGCTCTTTGGGTCTACAGAGATCAGGAAAAACCAGTAATAATTTTACTAATTTTTCTATACCATAGTGATATGTTAACAATACAACTCAATTTAGGAAAAAGTTTTATTACAACCATCCATCCATCTATCCGTCCATCATCCATCCATCCATCCATCCGTCCAACCATCCATCCATCCATCCATCCATCCATCCATCCATCCATCCATCCACCCATCCATCCGTCCAACCATCCGTCCAACCATCCATCCGTCCATCCATCCATCCATCCATCGAACCATCCATCCATCCATCCATCCATCCATCCATCCAACCATCCAACCATCCATCCATCCATCCATCCATCCATCCATCCATCCATCCAACAATCCATCCATCCATCCATCCATCCATCCATCCATCCATCCATTCGTCCAACCATCCATCCATCCATCCATCCATCCATTCGTCCAACCATCCATCCATCCATCCATCCATCCATCCATCCATCCATCCAACCATCCAACCATCCATCCATCCATCCATCCATCCATCCATCCATCCCCCTCCTGTGGTATATATGCAACATGCTACAGGCTCTTCTGTCCATCTTTATGGAAAAAATGATAGAGTTTTGGTCATTAGGAACAGAGGGGCCAGGACAGAATGAGGGTCCAGAGAAGATGACAGCAGATTTTCTTCTATTTCCTTGATTTGCTTGGAGCATTAAATGTAATGTACTCAGAGCAGTGTCTAGTACATAGTAAGCATTCAGCAAATGTTAACTGTATGTAAGAGTATGATATTGTCTGTAATGGGCCTTGGGTATTTAACATTTCTACTGTCTTTTTATTGTTCTTTAGAGAACAGTAAACAATGGATGGGTAGCAAGGTTTAGAGAAGACTGCTGAGGTAGCAGTCAGACCTGTGTCCTGGCCCAGCTTCTGTAAGACCCCAAGAAAGTCACTGAATTTCTTTGAGCATCAGTGCTCATCTAATCAAAAGTAATTAATAGTCTTCTATCTTCTAGACCAGAGATGTAAACAGGACACTGTATATAAAATTACTCTCAAAATTATAAGGCCAGTATAATGGCAAGACGAAGAAAATTGAAGTGGGGCGGGGAACCCTTAAAGGACAGCCCATCTCTCTGCCATTCCCTTCTTAGTTTCACCCAAAGGAAGGAGGAATTAATAATAAGACTGGTCAAGTTCGGGAGTCAGTAAACGTTTTTTCTGTAAAGGGCCAGATAGTAAATATTTTAGGCTTTGTTAGCCAAGAGCCAAAATCAGGGTTCGGAGTTAGTGTTCCCTAACCTCACGGTAGAAGCATGGCCTCATTCTCCTACAAAGCCTTCTCATGCTTCTCTGACCAGAAAAATCAAGTGATCTTCCCTCCTGGGAACTCACCAAAATGTGTTACCTGCATCTTGTTTTGGCGCTGCCTTTATAGTGTTGAACAAGTTTTCATTTGAGGAAGCAAGTGCAGAGCGCAGGGTCTGGGGAAAGACTCTTGGGGATTGAATCCCAGCTGAACTACTCACTAGCAGTATGATCTTTGAATACTCACTTGACCTATGCAGGAGCGTCAGTTCCCTCATCTGTAAGATGAGTAATAGTCTCTACTTTACTGGGTTGTTGTAAAAAGTAAATGAGTTAATATATCTAAAGAATTAGAATAGTATGTGGCATATTATGAAGCAATCCATAAAATGTTTATTCTTTTATCATTTTTTCTCTAATTGTTTTAAAATGTAAACTCTTTCTTAGCTTGTGGGCCATGCAAAATCTTTCTTAGCTTGTGGGCCGGGTAGCAGGCTGAGGATGGCCTGTGGGCCATAGTCTGCACTTCCCTGCTCAAGTTCAGGGGTGTTCATGGCTCTGTGCTTACCTGGAGCCTGCACTGTGGTCTACTGACAGGCACACATTCATTTTCTGTTACTTCTCTTCCATTTGGGAGGTGTGTCAGTTGAAACAGACCTGGCTCTTCAGGTTAGGCAAGCCACATTCTCTCTTGACTTCCAATTCCAGGGAGGGGCACTGATAAAGTGATTTGGGGTCCCTTTGGGGAGCAAGGTCTCTTCTTTGTTCATTAGCTCTGTTTTTGTCCCTTTTCATTTTCTCCCTTTTCTGCCTTATACCTTTCCATTAGCCCCTTCTAACATGTGGCTGGCTGGTATGGGGTGAAGTCCCAAGATTGAGATTCAGCCTTTGGTGGGAAGGCAGAGGTCTTTGGAAATTCCCTTTTGGAAATTGGCCCAGTTATAATTATAGGGTTACTTTGATTGCTATTTGTTATTCCTTATATGGGAAAATCACTTGGGGAACCTTAGTGTGGAGGTAGAGAGAAAGAGATGTTTGGCAAGGCAGGATTCTGACATTCCTAGATCCCAGGGGTTATACCATCACATACCTTCAGTGCTCCCATGATAATTCCAAACAGGGCCTACAAGGGAAAAGGAGGTTACCTGGTTTGTGATACACTTGTTTTTGCAGTTCAGTGTCTTCCTTGTGGTCTTGGGGCCAGATTATCTGTTTTCTTCAGGATGGAGAAGAATGGTGAAGCCCAGATGATGTTAGCTTTATCTGTATCTGAACAGAGGGGAATACAATGGTTATTGGGGTGAGGGCCTAGGGAGGTGGTCAAAGCCAAAAGGGGCCAGATGTAGCATCAGGTATGACAGGCAGCCTCTAAGATGGCCCCAGCGACCCCCTGACGTGTATCCATGCCCTTGTATAATTCCTTCCCCTTGCGTGTGGGTTGGATCTAATGGTGTAGCCAAATGGATAGAACATGGCAAAAGTGATGGGCTGTCATTTCTGAGATTAAGAGTCAAAAAGATGGTGGGTGTGGGTGTGGTGGCTCACACCTGTAATCCCAGCACTTTAGGAGGCCAGGAGTTTGAGACCAGCCTGGCCAACATGGCGAAACCCTGTCTCTACTAAAAATACAAAAAAAATTAGCCGGGCATGGTGGCATGCACCTGTAATCTCAGCTACTTGGGGGGCTGAGACAGGAGAATTGCTTGAACCTGGGAGGCGGAGGTTGCGGTGAGCAGAGATTGCACCACTGCACTCCGGCCTCAGTGACAGAGAGAGACTCTGTTTCAAAAAAGGACTTTGGCTTCTACTTTGCTTACCCTCTCTCACTCTCTGGCCTGCTTGCTCTGAGAGCAGCCAGCTGCCATGTTGTGAGCTGCCCACGAAGATCTTGTGGCAGGAGTTGTTGTCTCTGGCCAACAGCCAACGAGGACTTGGGGTCTACCAATAGCCACAAGAGTGAGCTCGGAAGTGAATCCTCCATCCTCCTGCAGTCAAGCCTTGAGATGACTGCAGTCCTGGCCTACTTGTAGCTTGTGGAGACCCTGGGCCAGATGCATCCAGCTATGCTGCATCCAGATCTTTAGCCCAAAGAAACTGTGAGAAAATAAATGTCATTTTAAGCCATCAGATTTTGGGGTCATTTCTTACATGGCGATCAATAACTAATGCATTGGGTTCCTCGAATGTTTTTCCTGAAGAACCTACTGGGGACACACTCCTATGCTGCTGGGAATTGTAAGTGTAGCATTAGGACTTACCGAAACATGGCCAGGATTGGCAGCAGGAGGCAACGCTGGAGTAGGGACCAGCCTGACCTGTTCCTGGCCTCTGATCCTCCAGCCCTTGAGCTGCAGTGAGTTGCTTCAGGAAAGGGATCAACACGGGACAGGCAGTGGCCCGGTCCCTGACAGAAGTTGTGACTGTTGCATAGAATATGTGTCCAGGGTAATTCTCCAAACACACAGGGCTTCCTGAGGCAGTCGTCTAGGATGAAGTAGTCAGCACTGAGTTCCGTGCTTGGTCTCCACCTGTCCCACAGGGTTGCCTTGGGAGTCTCTTTCTGAGGCCCCCTGTCAAAGACGGAAATACAGATTCCTCTGTCAAATCCAGTCCAGGGATCAGTACCTGGGTGTGCAGGATCTGGAGGCGGCTCCATTCCCGTCGGTACCGTAGCTGACCCAGGGCCCTAGCCAGGAAGTTCTGTCTCTCCCTCATCAGCCCTCGAAACTCATCAGAGAGACGATGAACCACCTGGAACACAGGGAACGTAATGGCCAAGTTAAGATGGGCCTTCTTTCCCTTTCTTTCTCCTCTCCTCCCAGCACCTCCATGGTTCCTTGAGCCCACCTGCCCCTGAATATTACATTGCCCCGGAGAGCCACATCTGATGACATGGGAGGATGTGCTCATCACATGCGGGTCTTCTGTCAGCCTCAGAACCTCACCTTCCTGGGGCGCTTCCAGACCTGTGGGCTCTGATTCCTGCTTTGCTACAGCCCCGTCTCCTCCTCCCGGCCCTGCAGCCAGCCAGCTGCTTGCCTGAGCTTTTCCGCTGCCTGCTCTAAACTCTGCAGGACTTCCTGCACACCCAGCACCACCTGCACCTCCTGTTCCCACTCCTCTCTGTCTGCTGCAAATGGCAGAGAAAAGGGCCACATGGCATCGACCACCACCAGGGATCGGGAGGAGAAGAAAAGACAATAGATTATCGGAGTAAGGGGAACCTGCCAGGAGAGCCGAGCACATTCAGAGGGCAGGAGGGGCTCCCCACGGGGCAGCTATCGGTGGTGACCCCACTCCCCGATTTCTGCTGTGCGCATCTGAGCCTAGGAGGTGCTTTCCCACCTTGAGAGAGCAGGCCCCACACTGGGCTGCTGTGTGTGCTCAGAGCCCTGGCTCTTCTCTCCGTCTCCTGCAGGCAGTGGGACTCCAGGGCTATGTAGGACAGAAGGGACAAAGGAGTGGGCCTTGGAGGGGAAGGCAGGAGCTCTGGGTGGGGCTCTTGGTGGCTCCTCCTCCCCATCTCTGTCCTGCTTAGATACTTGGGGGTGACTGAAATCTTGGGCCTGGGGCTGGGGAATCTTGGGACTGTGTCTTCTCTGAGATGGATTTCACTCCCGTGGTTGGGGGAGAGAAGGACTCCAAACTTTCAAAAAGAAAACTGTGCAGTCTTGGCAGATGGGTGGGTGGGGATGGTGAGGTCGTGCCCCTGGGTTTCACCTGCTGCTCCATGCCATTGCCTGCAGTGAAGTGGAGCTCCTGGCTCAGGTGCCCCAGGTGATCCAGTAGCATCTCCTCCTCCTGTTCCTGGTGGTGCCAGTACTGCTCCCGGGCCCTCAGCTCCCGCTCCAGGACATCCAGCTACAAAGTTCAGCCTGTTTAGGGCTTACTGGCCTTTTCTGCTCATGACCTCACGTGGTCCAGCTATAGATTCCCAAAGCTTCACAGGATAATGGCCCTCCCCGATCTCAGGCATCCACAACTAAACTTGGTGAGGCTGTCAACTTGGTTTTATTTTTATTTTTATGTTTTGAGATGGAGTTTCACACTGTTGCCCAGGCTGGAGGGCAATGGCGTGGTTTTGGCTCACTGCAACCTCCACCTCTCAGGTTCAAGCAATTCTCCTGACTCAGCCTCCCGAGTATCTGGATTACAGGTGCCCACCACCACATCAGCTAATTATTTTGTGTTTTTAGTAGAGATGGGGTTTCACCATGTTGGCCAGGCTGGTCTCGACCTCCTGATCTCAGGTGATCCTCCCACCTTGGTCTTCTAACGACTTGGTTTTAGCTAGAAAAATGACCACACATTTTCTTCAAACTCCCTGGTTCCTCCTTCCCTCCTGGTGACACCTGCTCTCTCCAGAGTCCCCCGTGCCTCCTGCCCCCACCCATCTCTTGGGAAGTCCAGAGGAGACGGGCAGGTGGTGGCAGGAAATTGTTCTCACCCCCCTCATACCGTGAAGACACACTGCCCTGTGAAACAGTGGTGTCAGGGCTAGAATTGAAATTTCTTGGCTTGTAACAAGAACCTTTTATTTATTGCATGCCTTTTACCACAGTTTCTGAAACTTAACTAGACTGAGAGTGTATGGGGGACCCTGAATCATTTTCATTTTGGTGGAGATCTGCCAACGGCTGAATTACTGCAATAACCTGATGGGGCTTCCTGCGCTAGTCTGGCCCCACTCCCATCCATCCACCGCACAGCTGCCAAGGAGAGCTTTCTAGAATGCTGACTGTACATACACGTACGTAAACATAAAAATAAATGGAGGAGGTGTGCCAACTTGTGAAGCGGCTGGGTTTGGTGGGAGAGACCGAGGGAGAGGCAAGGAGTGCCTGGATGGAATGCCATGGGGGTGTTGACTGTTGGGGGAGGGAGAGAAATGGGCAGGGCAGCTTTTGCTTCTTCATTGACATACTTAAAAAATGTCTGAGTAAATTATTTTTTGTATTGTTTCATATTTTCAAAATTTTAAAGTCTTATTTATATTTGATTATATCTCATGTCGAGAACCCTTCAGCAGCTCCCTGTGGCTTTCATGATGGAAGACACATTTCTCATACTCGCTGTCTTTGCATCTGCTTTCCCCGAGGCTGGAGCGACTTTCTCGGCTGTCTCTCTGCTGCCTGTGTTACCTCATTAGGGAAGACTTGAGCTCTCCTCTGTGTGTTGAGATGCCCTCCCCCGAGCTCTCCTAACACCCTTGTGAACCACCACCGTGGTTGGGACCCATGGCCAGCCAGTTCCCTGGGAGCCCTATCTAGTTGTCCTTGTATCTCAATGCCTAACGTGTTGCCTGGAACACAGCTCTCAGTATGTAGTTGCTGAGTGAATAATGAATGAATAAATGAATTCAATACCTGCCCCTTACATACCAGACCAGGGTCTCTCACTCCTCGAGGTAAGGACTCCAGCACCTGGACAATGGGCACCACCACTCTGGAAGAGGGATCCCTTTGAGCTCCAGTGACGGGACCAGGCTCCCCAGTCAAGAGGTCTATGGCTTGAGCCCCGATTGAAATTGGGATAAGACCTGTGGAAGCCAAGCCCATCGCTGGCTTTAGAAACTAGAGCTGGGGAAGGAAGGAAGGACAGTTATAGGAAGAAAGATGCATGGTAAAAACGAAGCCAGAAGAGCCCTTGATCTCCCTTCAAGGGGCTCTGAGCTGGGTCATAGGGCTCTTGGTGGCCACAGCCCTGGGGTGGGTGGGTGGTGAGTTTCTGAAGTGCTGGTCTTTGAAAAGACCCAATTTTCTAGAGGAGGCATACATGATTTGTGGTCCTGCGGTTTTGGAATTTCTGGGCACCTTTAATTTTGGGTGTCAGCAGCCCTAGCAGAAGATCAGAATGACCCCTTCCCTTGGTACCTTGGTACCCCCTCCTGAGCTTTACGGGGGGTGAGGTTTCTCTTTCTGAGCTCTCAGAGGTCCCAAGTCCTCTTTTACCTTTGCTGTTGAGCCTGCCAGAGGTGTGGCATCGCCCGAATTCTCATCATGCTCCATGCCCAGGATGGGCACCATGAGCCCTGAACCCTCAGGATCTGGGATCTCCATTTCATACAGGGCTGGGGCCCACAGCTCTGTCCTGGGATAGTGCATCATTCCTAGTACCAGGGGGAGGGGGAGTGAAGAGGAGGAGTTGAGGGTTTAGCATCACCCTGGAAGTCTTTCCGGGTTCAAAGTACTACATCCCTGACCAGAGGGAGTTCCCGGCAAACACTGCATTGATTTCCTTTGGGCCCAACTTAGCATTCTGAATTCAGAAGGGAAGAAAGGACAATGCCTCAATGGCCTGCTTTGGAAGAAGCAAGTGGGAACTGAGTGGCATCAGACCTTTTGAGAAGCTGAGAACATCTTCTCAAAGGAGGGGGCTTGTGTTCTTGAGCACCTGCCATTTATCAGAATCTGAACTCAGAACTCCACAGAAGTTGTATTTTACTCAGTCCTACAAGTCAAGCTATAAAGTATGCACTATTTTTTTTTTTTGAGATGGAGTCTCACTGTGTCACCCAGACTGGAGTACAATGATGTGATCTCAGCTCACTCCAACTTCCACCTCCTCGGTTCAAGTGATTCTTCTGCCTCAGCCTTCCAAATAGCTGAGATTACAGGCTCCCGCCACCATGCCTGGCTATTTTTTGTATTTTTAGTAGATATGGAGTTTCACCATATTGATCAGGCTGGTCTCGAGCTCCTGACCTCAAGCAATCCACCTGCCTCGACCTCCCAAAGTGATGTGATTACAGTCATGAGCTACCACACCTGGCCAGTACGCATGATTTTACTCTTCCTTTTAAAAGACTGTAAAACAGTGACAGGGAGGGATTAGCATTAATAACTTGCCCAAGGTCAAAGAATTAATAAACTGTGGGGCAGGTCTTCAAACTCAAGTCAATTCTGACCCTGGTTCTTTTTTTTTTTTTTTTTTTTTGTGGGCAGAGAGTAATTTCTAGAAAGAGCAAGATAAACTCCAGGAAGATGCCACTGCTACTTCTCCTTGCCTTTCCTTGTATCAGGGTCATGGGGGAGGTGTCGTCATGGGATGGGCTCCTTTTTTTGCATTTATTTGTGGGAAGTGGAAGATTGCTGCAGAATGAGGTGGGAAGGGATTGAGGACTCAGGAGATTCAGGCTTTGCAGCTAACTAGCTAGAGGGCCCCAGATGGGCAACTCATTTAACATGCCGACCATCGAGTTCCCCACTCTAAGATGAGTGTCATAGCACCTACGTGGTGATGTTTCATGAGCCATGAAGTAACAAGGGACTGTGCTCTCTATAACATAAACTCAATGGCACTGGCAAGGAATTAAGACAGGGATGCAGCCAAGCACTCATGGGGTCGGGGTGTGAGGTCATGGAGTTCCTTCTCTCTTCCCTTGGTCATGCATGTGTATGGCCAGTCGTGCTGCAGCCCTGTCCCTGAGCTTATGGGCTGAGGAGCACTGAAGCACCAGGTCATCCTGGGCCTGAGGTTTCGGGGCCTGAGAGCCTCTGGCCCAGATTTGCCCATACCTATCCTGCCGCCGCTGGCTTCAGTGTCATCCGCTGCTGCCAGCTGCCTCTCCAGCCTCCGAGCCTGCTGCAGGATGTGGTGCAGGCTCAAGGCCAGTGCCTGTCTATGTCCTTGATGGTAGCCTCCAAAGGCCCCTGCACCCCCGACTCTGGACTCGCCTGGCACTGCTGGAGCACTGCAATCACTTGCCTCTGGGCCACCAGCACATTGGCGTCCAGCAGGGCCTGTGACCCTCCCATATGGGGCAATGTCTGGCCCTCCTGTTGAGAAGCCCTCTGTAGCCAGACTGTCTTCCCACTCATTGGCTCCACAAAGCTGTCACCAGGAAGCATGAGGTTCCCCAAAGCATCTTGCAGCCTTCCCAGCTGACCTGGAAGCAAGAAACCAAGAGGGCAAGGTGGGAAGGGACCCAGCAGGGACGTAGGCAGGTGTGGCATAAGGGCAACTAGGGCACGAGGGTGGAGGTGAACTGTGGGAGGGAGGGAGGAAAGAGGGGGTGAGTGAGAGGGCAGGGGGCGGAGCATGGTGGTGACAGGTGGTGGAATGGTCCTTTTTGTTTGAAAAGCATCTATTAACTTTATAGGACTACCTTGCTTCTCTTCCCCTCCCTAGGAGCACTGGGGTAGAGATGGGGAAGGGGAGAGAGAAGGTTAGGGGTAAGAGGTAGAGTGAGGATGAAGGGTGGAAAGGGTGGGGTGGGTGGAGTTTATAGCTGGGACCAGAGCATGGAAGGTGTAGGGGGTTGAGAGGAGGGGACTGGGAGGCTAGGCCAGGCATGGAGAAGGGCATGGGAGGACAGTGCCGAGGGCTGCCAGGAGACCTGTGTTTTCATCCAACCCGACTCCCAGGATGGGCGAGATGCCTCCTGTGACTGGGTCCTCCATGGGGTCCCCCATCTCAAGAGGGGCCAAGGTCTTGGTGAGAGGATTGCAGTATGTCCCTCCAAGAGTGAGCCACTCTCTTGTTTGGGGGTGCAGAGTCACAGCCAGCACTGGCACCTCGATGCCTGTGATGGGGTCTGTCATGAGAGCCCCCAACTGGGACGTCCTTCTTGGCTGCAGGATGGGCAGGTGCGTGGCTGGAGAGGAACCTGTGGCTGGACTGGTTGGGTAGGGCACATAGGGCAGAATGGCAGCTTCTGATGTTCGGATGCCACCTGGACAGGGATACAGGGAGCTGTTGGTGCCTTTAATGCACCAGCCTCCCTCCTTAGCCCTGCAGAACAGGGGCAGAGGCGCCTTGGCACTGCCTCCTTTTACTAACCAGCTCTGTCCATTCATGGCACCCTCTGCATCCAGCAAGAATGTCAAGGTGAGGAGGGGAAGGAGTTATTTACTACTCTGCTGGTCACCAAGCCCCACTGTCCAAAAAGGGAGCCCTGCTTCCTGTGGGGTGCTCCCTGGGAGATCACTCCAGAGAGTCCCAGTAAGCCCTGCCTCATCTCTGAAGCCCAGAGCTGAGTTGGGGATAATCAGTGGGCCAGGCGCTCACCCGCAATGGAGTCCACAGTGGGCACCAGGGTAGCTCTCAGCAGATCACATCCCAGGTGTCCAGCCTCGGGCAGCACCCACCCAGTGTCGGGGTGGATGAGGTAGCGGCGGGTATGGAGCCTGTGTGGCCACTGGCTGGAAGCATCGAGCAATTGGGGCCAGGGACCATCAACTTGGTGATGGGTTTTACACTGATGTCATCAGCACCCCGGGAGGGCCTGCTGGGGCTGCAGGAAAGTAAGCATTGCCTGCTCAGCCCTGGGCTGGGGGCTGGGGTAGGGGAAGGGAACATGCAGGGGCTCCCTTGGCTGGTGACTGGAAGGAGCTGGTGAGAACTCCTCCCCAGCCCCCACAGACATTGTGCTCTTGAGGGGCAGGGGTCTCATCTTTGCTGAGTCCAGGGCAGGATTCCACCTGCCATTGTGATATCATTGCAGACGCTGGAAGGGCCTTGGGAAATGGTGGTGACAGCTATGGGGGGGCCTACGGGACTCCCAGGACTCAGCAGGTCTGCGAGTCCCTGAGGCAGGCTCATCATGTCCCCAGCTTGGCCGCTTGCCTTCATCTGCCAGGCTTCGACTTTCAGGAAGTGCCACCGGCTCTGTAAAGCTCTGACTTGCCATGGCTTGTTTCTTCCTGGATCCTTCCCACATTTGCGGCTCCTTCTTCTTTTGGGCAGGACACCCCACCCTGACACAAGCCCTTCCTGACCTTGGGGTGTCAGCTTTGTTTTGCCCTCTTCTACCTTGCCTCCCCTGCTGTGTGTCTGGGGGTGGAACCGGAGTTTCTGCAGGGCTCGTCACCCTGATTCAGGGCCAGGTTTCTTGGGGGCCCTGGCTGAGGTGTAAGCAGAGCTTACCTGGCCGCAGCAGCTCTGCCACAATGCTGGTGCTCAGAATGCCCCAGGCCTTTAGGCGGTGGCCCTCCTGCAGCATGACCTGGGACAGGTGTCCAGCTGGGGAACTGCCCTGCAGGGACACAGGAGCACTCAGAGATGGGAAATGGACGTTTTGTTTTGGCCAGTTCGGGGATCCTATCAGACACACTCACACCTCCCCATTTCCTGTCTCCCTAAGTCTGCCCCAGGTTGGCCGGGTCCACACCTTTCTGAGTTCTGCCCAGCTGGAGAGGACTTCTCTGGCCTGGAGCCTGTCCGTGCTTTCAGCAGCTGCTGAGCCTCCATCAGTGCTGAGCAGAAAGAGGCCCACTGCTCCTGCCTCTCGCAAAGGTCTTGGCAAAGGAGCTTCAGTTGGTGACGAAGGCTGGCTGCATACTTGCCTGCCAGGTGCCCCCTCCGCCTGGCCTCCTCCTCTGCTGCCCTGGCAGCTGCCTCAGCAGCCTGGGTCAGAGACAACCCTGCCTTCTTACCTGCAGGTGCTACAGCCACCAGGGACAGCAGGCTGGGGGACACCCCGCTCATCCTGGGAACTCCAGAGTTATTCTGCACAGGCATGGCAGCAGTGGCAAAGGGGGCGAGAAATTCCCAGGGATGGTGGGAAGTGTAGCTAAAAGCCTTCGTGCCAGGGGGATGGAACAGGTGACGAAGGTGGTAAGGGAGGGATCCTGGACCTCAGTGAAGGGAGGGAGTTGTGTTTGGGCACAGAGACCAGAGAGGAAGGCAGGAACCAAGCCCCCACCTGCTGCTGCTCCCTCTGCATGCTCCCCAGGAGCTGACTAGTGGAGGCTGGGAGGCAGCGCCTTGCTCCCCACAGCTGTTGGAGAGAACAGGCTTCGTGCAGAAGTTTAAGGTAGAGGAGTTTGGGCTGCGAAGAGAGGGTGGATTGAGCCTGTGTGAACTCTGTTCCCAGAGCCACCCAGCCTCTCACTGCTGTGATCGCAGTGCCCCCTGCAGCCAACAGCTGGAGAGACTCCGGAAACCCATCCTCCCTCCACACTCCCCCACCACCCCAAGACACTTGGAAAGAATGCATGAAGACTGACACAAGCTAGTCCCAGCCAGTCTCAGCACACACATTCTGCTGGGGAAGCCCTGGCCCAGTTTTGATACTTGGATTTCTAGTGTATTCTTTTTTGCTTCTAATGCCTGTCATGTACTGGCATAAATTTGCTCACCCAGTTGGGGTACTGAGGACTAGGGATGGAAATCTAAGAAGGAACTCCAGCGGTGGCCTTAGACTATTCCCTGTCATTGACCTGAAGCCCAGGTTCCATGAGATCTGTCCTAAACTTAATCTGAAATCTTCTATCTCCCCTGCTCGTATACTCTTCATTATTCTGATTCCTTAAGGAATTGATAGACTGAGGATTTCTTTGGCCTTTATGTCTCATAACCAGCTCTCCTGAAGAGGAGTCTGTTTCTAGCCCCACATGTTCCTCCAGTTTGCCTGGAGCTGCCAGTTACCTCTTCCTTGGTCTGGCTGAGTTTGGCTGTCACTGAGAGAGACTGCCTGAGCAGGATTCCAAAGAAGGCCTCTGTGTTAAACCCTTCCAGGTCCACCTGCTCCTCGGCCTCCCAGCTCCCACCTGTGGGGGTCAGGGGGGAAGCAGGATTATCCTCCTGAAATGCGAATTTGAGCTTCCCTGCAGCTCTTCCACGCACCTTTTTCCTATTGAGCCTCAACAATTCAGGCAGTCTTGCTACTGAAAGTGTAGTTCTCGGGTAAGGAGCATCAGGGCTGCTGAGGAACTTGATAGAAATGCAGAATCTCAGGCCTCATCCCAGACCTACTGAAGCAGAAGAACCCCAGGAAATCCTATGCACATTAAAGTTCTAGGAGCTCAAACAAATCCCAGTGCTGCTGTGTGAGGACCGTACTGTGAGTAGCAAGGATAGAAGGGGAACCCCTTGGTGTGACATACAATAAATACCTCTGGAACTTGCTCGTGTAGGTAGTACTAGTACCAAGCACACAGGTCACCGTGTAACTTGTCCACTTTGTACACAGTTACGCTATGTATCTTTTCGAAAGTGTGTTTAGATGTTTCTTTCCTCCTCTATATTGCCTACTCCTGGTGCCCCTGGAGTCTGACATACAGTAGCCACTTGGTAAAGACTTTTTGAGCAAATCAGTGAATGAATGAACAGGAATTGAGCATTGAGCAATCTTGGAAGATGGAAAAAAGAAGCAGGAGCTGGCCAGTTGGATCTGGGTTACCTCTGGGATTCTAGCCCACCTGTCACTCACCGGGGCCCCCCTCAACCCTGGGGGCGTCAGAGTCTTGGTGAGATCGGCCTCTCCTCATTGACATTATTCCAGTTCTTGGGGAAGTGTACGCATGGAGGTTGTATTCTTGCCGATGTCTCCTGAAGGTAGGGTGAGGAGCAGTCTTCAGAGCCCAGCTCAGGCTGTGACACTGAATCTACAGAGTACATAATATGGGGTGGGAAGGGAAAGGTGAGCCGAGGGCATGGCTTCCTTCCTGAAGACTCTGAAAGGAGGCAGCTCACACTTCGAGCAGAGCCGTGGTTAGGGAGCACCTCATCCTCTCTTGCTTGCTAATTGTTTAGGCCTCTGTCATTTTTTCCTCTCTCTGATCCGTCTCTGTCCTCCACCCTACTGCTAGAGGACAAATAAAAGTCAGACAAGCTTTTCTCACTTGCTAAAAATTCTTATTCCCTGCCTAGGGGATAGAGTCCAAACTTCCTAGCAGGGCCCGGAGACCATCCACAATTTAGTCTCCCTCCCAGTTCCAGCCTTATCCCTGCCCTCACACCTCAGCACCAGTCATGGGAAACCCCATTGGGTTCCCTGAGAAGGTGCCTGTTGTTTCATGCCTATGTTCTTGCTGTGTTCACAGTACTCCTCATCTCTGTCCCTCCTCCCCAGTGCGTACTCCCTGCTCCTCAACTCACCAACCCTCTTGTAATGCAGGGACCACGTTATATTAAAGACTTCTCACCAGCCAGGCATGGTGGCTCACGCCTGTAATCCCAGCACTTTGGGAGGCCAAGGTGGGTGGATCACGAGGTCAACAGATCGAGACCATCCTGGTCAACATGTGAAACCCCGTCTCTACTAAAAATACAAAAAATTAGCTGGACATGGTGGCGCGTGCCTGTAATCCCAGCTACTCAGGAGGCTGAGGCAGGAGAATTGCCTGAACCCAGGAGGCGGAGGTTGCGGTGAGCCGAGATCGCGCCATTGCACCCCAGCCTGGGTAACAAGAGTGAAACTCCATCTCAAAAAAAAAAAAAAAAAAAAGAAAAAAGACTTCTATTTCAAGCCTCATTCAGGGATCAACTCCTCCTGACTGAGTCTGTCCTGACCCCTGAGGGAGAACAGGCAACTCTTGCTTTTGTGTGGCCGCGGCTCCCTGGACATGCTTTAGCTAGCTCCATTATATTTGCTGACATGTATTTCTTTCAAGCCCTGGAGGCTTGAAACTGCACCTTTGTCACATTTGCATCCTAGCAACTATTAGAATGCTTACCATAAACGGAACTGGAAGATCCACTTATAGGGGATTGGAGAGCTGGTCTTGGGTAGTGGTTAAGAAGTCGCTTGTCTGGCTTTACTCACCATTAGAAGCAGGCAAAGCCCCAGGAGCGGCACTATCTCCCCTAGGAGTCCTGGCCAGCCAGACCTCTTCAGGGGCCGGGGGATCCTGGCGATGCCAGTCTGGATGAGATACCTGGGAGCTGTGGAGGCAAAGGGCCCTTCCCCAAAGCACAGGCCCCCCGGCGGGAGGGCACGGAGATACTGCGTGGAAAGCAGTCTGTTCAGTCTTTGTACCGCTGTCTACCAGAGACTGGCCAGGAGACGGAGTGGGACCCATGCCTGCCAACACTGACCAAATAGTTGGACGATCGTGTAAACCTGGGGGCTGGGAGGCAGAATCAGAGTTTTCCTGGGAAACTAACTTACATCAGATGACTCACCTCAGTTGACTGTCTGCATGAGGAGCTGTGTGCATGTTCTGGGACTAAGTCAGTACAATCTCTTGGACGTTGTGCTGACAGGGAGATACAAAATGCTGTGTGTGGCACCAACAGCACACCCGGATCAGTGGTGGCACAATGTGCAGGTCACACAGATAAAACCATGCGTAGGAGGGCTTGGGAGATGTGGAGGGGGAGACAAGTGGAGGGTTGGGAGAGATAGCCAGAGGTCCCAGGCCGTGCAATGCCATTGATGTCCCTTAATACACGCTTGTGTTCCCATCCTCCCAACCATCCCCTCCTTATACCACACATGCCCAGCTGCTGTAGAATGAACCTTGGCATCCCCAGGACCATCTGTTAGCATTGTGGGACCCTGAAACTGACAGGGATATCAGGGCATCTCCTTCCTTGTAGATCTGTCTGAGGTGGTTATGAGGCAGTAATTTTTAAAGAGAGGGGAAATGATGGAATAATGTCTTAAATGAGGCAAATTATCATAGACAAACCATCTTCTGATGTCGGTTGCTGCTCAGACGAAAGACATAAACACCTGGCTGCTGGAACTGCTGCAGGAAGAGACTGAGGCTTTGCTTATAGAGCTGGGACTCCTCAGCCAGGGCCCGGAAGCGCCCCCAGTCAAAGTGCTCCAGTGTGTTATAGAAGTGGCCCCTGGCGAGAGAGAAAGGAGGGAATACGTTGCCTTTGGAAGTGGTGGCTGATGAGGGGGAATTTGCTATCTAGGGACTCCATGATGGTGGGGCTGTGGACTCTGGACACTCACAGGTCATGCTCTGGGTAATGCTCATGAGTCACCAGGCGTGCCAGTGTATCATTGTCTTGGAGGCAGACTGTAGGGTTTCAGATGCCTGGCTCTGGGGGCAGCAGATCCCCAAGGTATGTGGAGTTGAGGTTCAATGACCAACAAGAGGCGAGATGTCCTTCCCTAGACTTTCCTAGGTAAGATTCAGAGAATGAGGGAGAGCCGCCACTCTTCAGATGGTTTTTTTCTGGGGCCTGGGAGGGGTAGAAGAGGGATAGGAGGGACAACAGGTGAGTGGTGTTGCCCACCTGGATCCTGGTCTGGATGCCTGGGATCCCCGAGGGGAAGGCTGAGGGAGTGTAGTAGCTTACCACCTGGTCTGGTCAGGCCCAGGAAGCCACGCCCTAGAACAAGACAGGGATCCCCCTGACCCTGTAGGAACTGGGATAAGAGTTTTCCCAAGTGCATGAATATAATCCGCAGCTGCCCAGCCTGGTCTGCACATGGTAGCTTCAACTTTCTGAAGAATTGAGGAGTCAGAATTAGCATGCACTTCTCAGGGAGCCCTCCCTGGGGGGGCCGGCTGCCCTATCAAGTCCCAGCTGCTGGTTGTGGGACAGAGCACACGCCATGGTAGGGACAAGGCTTGCACCTGTGTGGTCCCAGGCCGCAGGCCTCCCTGTGGCCTCCATCTGTCCAGCTCTCTTACCATCCATCTTGACTACATAGAGGGGGCCAGACTTCTGCCCTAGCTCCAAGTTGCAGGGATGGCCCACAGCACATGGTGGGGAAAGCCGGTCCAGAAGGAAAAAAATCCTGGAAAAAGGAGAGCCAGTGTCAGATTTTCCCTGAAGACATGGGGTCACACACTGGTCCAGCAGGAAGGAAGGGTGAACAGAACCCCTTTCCTGAGCCGTGTCTGAGTGTCCTGAAAGGACACAGGGGAGGTGGCGGTAGGAATAGTTCCAAGAACTCCGTGGGGCAGGGGCAGCCTGTAGTCATGACCTCTTGGACAGTGTCCCTCTTTAACGAACACCATGACCTCTTCTTCGAGGAGTTTTGTAGGATGAAATAAAATCAACAAAGGGGGCTTGCTCTGGTTCTGAGGCTCTGATGTTAGAGAGGTTGTGTCAGTGACATGGGCCAGGAAGCAGCAGCTCCCGGATCCTGCACACAGGCACGTCCTGCATGCTCCCTCTTTGGAGGCAGAAGTCACACGCCCAGGCTCCCCATGAGATTGGACCTCAGAGTGCTATACCTGGCTCCCCATGCCTCCAGTGACAGAAATCCGTGGGATACCGTCAGGGCAGCTGAGCTGCAAGATGTGTCTCTGTCTCTCTGGGCACAGAGGGCTGCACATTCCACTCAGCTGCTGTCTCCAGCACAGGCAGAGCCCCAGGCCTGAGTCATATCCACGGACATCTGGTGTGACACACACCTGCACAAAGACTCAACCTTCTTGGGGACATCTCCCTGGGGAAGGTCCCCTTCATTTTCTCCAGCTGCTTCTAGGAATTGCCTGAGAGTGCAATTCCTTTGCACTCTGATCTTTGGTACTGACCTCTGTATTTCCAGAGAGGGACCAATGGAATGAGCCCAGTGGCTGGGAGGGTTGGCATTTGAATGGGAGGGTAGAGGAGCAGGAAGCTAAGAGCATAATAGATGGGCATTCTCCTACCTGGTAGGCACAGTGGTCATTTCACTGACGCTTGGTCAAACATAGCCCCTCCTGGTTCCAGGTGGCTCCATCCTTGCAACTCCTGTGTTCCTGCCGGACACAGCCCATCGGCTGTCCAACATCTTGGTAGCCAGGGAGGCAAGGGCACCGACTGTCACTGGGCTGGGGAGTGGGGAAGGGGAGGGAGGAATGCTGGTTTGTGCTGGTGGGTTAATACTTGGTTGTGGTGAACCATGCACAGGTTTTTGACTGTGACCATTTTGGAAATGGGCCAGAAGACAAGGGCAGGGGAGGGGAAATGAGCAATAAACAGGGAAGGGGAGGAGTCAAGGAAGGAGACCAGCCTGTGCTGGTAAGGGTCTGGCTGGCACTATCATTCCAGTTAAAAAAAAGACTCCAGACATTCTGCAAAGGAAGAATTCACACACACATTTGTTGGCTTACAGAGAATATTTGAGTCGGAAGGGCTTGGGCAAGGATGTGTTTTGGAAGTGATCGTGTCCTTTTCTCGGAGAAGGGGAGCCAGATTCAGCAAATGAAAACACAGGGTGCCCAGATAATGTGAAGTTTAGATACCCAATGATTTTTTTTTTAGTATAAATATGTCTCATGCAATACTAAAAAAGAAAGTTTGTTATTTATCTGAAATTCAAGTTTAACTGGGAACCCTGTGTTTTGACTGGCAACCCTACCCCCAAGTTACTTGGAAACCTGACCCAACCCTGGTCAAGTTACACCTGAGCAGAGTTTGACTTGAGACCAAAACAGTCCTGGAAATGCAGCCTGTCCTTGGCCCCCCTGCCAGAGGACATACCTGGAACACTCGCCCAGGCCCCCGGCAGACACAAGTGTCCTTGCCCTTCTCTGGCTGGGTGGCCTCTGAGCCACAGGGGAAACAGGCATCCTGGCCAGGCCAGGTGTTGAAGAACCCGGGAGGGCAGAGTTGGCAGAAGGAGGAGTTGTGGGGTCCTGCTTTGGAGAGGAAACTGCCCGGGGGACAGGGAGCTGGTGGTGAGTTGGGACAGAGACCACCTGTGGGGGGACAGCCATACAGCAATTAGGACTAAGGCTTAGCTTAGGAGCTGTGGGTCACTCATGGTCCCACGGGGCCCTGACAATGTCCTCTCCCATTATGGGGCTTCTGAGCCCTAGCCCAGCCCAGACACCCCATAAAGCCAGCATCTCCCCTCCAACGCTGTTTTTCTGTTTCCCACTCCTCAGCTGTACCCCCAGCCCCTACCCTCTCGGCATCCTGGTGGGTCTAGCTCTTCTTTTGCACAGGGTGTCTCATTCCCGCAGTCCTGAGGGTTCTCTGTGCTTGGGCATGTGGCACTCTGGAGGGTACAGCAGAAGACAGCTATGGAAGCCCATGTCACTGGGACACACTCAAAGGAGAGCATCCTCACACTTTGGGTGGGGGTGACAGCGGCAGAGAGAGACGCAGGCATAAAAGTGAGGGGGCGGACAGACGCTGAGAAAAATGGCTGGGGAGACAGATGGAGAATTAGAAAGGAGCAAAGCACAGAGGCCCAGTGCCAGCAACACCACGAGAAAACAAGATGAGGGCAGCGGAACAGGAGAGGCACAGGGACATCTGGATCCAGGATCCCAACGCAGGGAGAAATGTCCAGGAAGGGCAGCCTCTGCCACCCATGGGAGCTCCGGGATGCATTCACTGAATCTTTCATGAAGATGAAATCTGAGCTATGGATCCTCTGAGCAGCCTTGGCTCAGGCAACTTAAGTGTCTCCACTCTCTTTTTCCCTCCTCCCAGTCCCCCCGGGATCTCTCCTCTCTGGAGGAATGCCTCCATCTGCTGCCTCTGCTCTCCATGGTTCTTCTCTATCTCCTATCTCCTCCTTTTCCTTCCTAGAGAAGCTGGTGGGGCGTGTGTACACATGTGCACATAAGCATGTATAACTGGGCTTAGGGAGGGCAAGGGACATCTCAGCTCCCTTATTCTGCAAGGCAAAAGCCAGCCAAACTCTTATAAGTACTTTCTCTGTGTGAAATACTGCAGGAGAGATGCAAGGGAAATAAAACCCGAGGCTTCTGCCTTTGGTGTGTGTACAGCCAAGTTTCAGAGACCCATATGGTTTTTGCTTTAGAAAGGGTGTTGGAGATTATTTAGTTCTCTTCTCCCAATTTATAGAGGAGAAGACTGGGGCCCAGAAAGACTGAAAATTCATGCCAACAGTCAACTGCTCTTAAAGAATATGCATACCCAGAAAAACTGGAAACTGTAAAACTGCCAGTGAATTTTGGATAACCACCATGTGATGTGTCGGATAAAGTGTTCAGCGGGTAGCGGCGAGAAAGGCTCCAGTCCTGGCCCTGCCATTAATTACTTTTCGAAATGGAATGATCAGTTGACTTCTCGTTTGTAAATGAGTGGTAATAAATAATACTATCTAGCTCTCTTTATAGCCCCTGTGAAAATCAATCAGGGAAACAGGCAAGAAACTGCTTGGAAAGCCGTTATGTGGTGGCATAAAGAAAGTGCTGATGGGGGGAGGTGTGGCCACAAGGAAGAGACCTGAGGCTCTGAGACTTTCAAGGCCACCCAGCTTATAGGTCAAACTTACAGCATGTAAATGGGACTGGTGTGGGAGAACCTTAAGAAAACATACTGTATTACTTTGTAATCAGGCCTCGATTTTGAAAATAAGAAATGGTGTATCTGGTTTGATTGGCCCCACGTGACTCACCAACCTTCCTTCTGAGTGACCTTTGACTTGGTTGCTTCTGAAAAGATACCCACCCACCAAGTATGAGGTGTCCTCCTACTGAGGGCACTTCATTCACTGACTCATTTATTCATTCATTCTGCAGGTATTTACCATGCACTTGCTATGTACCAGGCTCTCTTCTGGAGCTGGCGATACCTGAAAGAATCGTGCTGCAGGCTTGGCAGGATTGTCGGATGCTGTTTGTAAAGCTGGACTGGAAGGAGAGTCCCTGGGCTGCAAAAGTAAAGCCTTCTCATAGAGGCATATGTTGGGGGGAAGAAATGAAGATCCCTGGGAACCCAGATTCTGAAAAAACATAGCTTACTTTAGTGCTGTCCAGTTGAAATGGACAGTGTGAGCCACACATGTAATTTAAAATGTTCTAGTAGCCAGGTTGAACAAGCAAAAAGAAACAGGTGAAATTAATTATAATAACATATTTAACACAATGCGTTTAAATATTACTTTAACATATAATCAATATAAAAGCTAATAATGTGATATTCTTTTTTGTCCTAAGTCTTTTAAATCCAGAGTGCATTTGGATACGCAGCATGTCTCAACTTGTACTAGTCCCATTTCAAGTGCTCAGTAGCCATAGGTGGCTGGCGGTTACCGTAATGCTCAGCACTGGCTGGCGTCCTCCCACAAAGCCACATCTCTGCCGGGTCTTCTAGGCCCCTGAGTATTCCCTGCACGTCTCACTCATCTGCGTTTCCCTTGTTTTTCCAGGAGGTGGCATTGTGAGCTTGCAGGAAGTGGCGAGCAGGGCGCGGAGGAGTCCAAAGGAAAGAGGAGAGGAAATGCGGTTGCAGGGGTGTGTGTGTGTGTGTGTGTGTGTGTGTGTATTGGTATGATCTTAATTATTTTTATAGGAAGTAAGATTAGCATCGGTGTAATGTTTTGCAACAATTCCAAAACGTTCCTGTCCCTGACAATCACCTGAGGATCTTTTAAAGACAGAGATTCTGATTCAACAGTATAGGTGATCTGGGGCCCGAGATTCTGCATTTCTGACAGGCTCTCAGTGAACTCCACCTCAATGGACCATGTTTTCAGTAGCGAAGCGTTGTGAGGAACTTTGATACACACCGCACTTTTTGGTACTCACAGCTACCTTGGGAGATTGACATTGTCATGAACCCCATTTTATCGTGTTAAGACATGGAGGAGCAAAGGGATTAAATCACTTGCCTAAGATCGTACCTGGAGGCCAGGCCAGGGTAGAGCGCAGGTATTCTTGCTCCCAAGCCTGTTCTCTCTGTATCCGTCATTACATTTCCCAGCTAGTAGAAAGTAGGTTCATCTTGTCAACCTTCCTTCTGCTGTGAGTAGGTGGGTGGGAAAGCTTCCCACTTCTCTGAGGTCTTCTGTAACCTTGTGGTCTCTCCGTCCTGTTTCTATCATGGCCATTAGCTCTCTGCACTTCACCTCCCTTCTGTGAAATTGATCTCAAAGGTAGCTTCTGACTTGGTTGAGTGGGACAAGGACGTTGTGCTTGGGTGGTGTAAAGGTCCTGGGGTCCTAAATAGGTTCAGATTACTCCAGCCGAGTAGTAGAGCTGGCAGTAGTAGAGCTGGAAGGGACACTAGGAGCTATGTCCTTCAGCTCTTCTATTTTGTGGATGAAAAAACTCAGACCCAGAGGGAGGAAGAGTCTTGTCCTGAGTCAACACAAGACAAGATGGAAAATTCCCACAAGGTCAGGTCACTGGACAGGATTTCTAGGAATAGCAAGCCGGAAAAGGTTAAAATAGAATTCAGGTTGCTCTTCATGTTGAAGTTTAAGTTAAGACTCAGATCCTAATTGTTCTCCGCTTTGAAATGTGTGGCCTCAGAGTCTTTAGCTACTGGGGATATGTTGGGCCTAGAAGGTGGCAAACTATTTAAGGAACCTCTTTCCTAGGCTCAGTTCTGTGAAAATACAGAGGACGCCCAAGCCATGAATGGGCTGCCCTCATAAGGCCACATGTATAAGAAAGGAGGGCATGATGAAAGATGTGGAACTGAGCGTGTGACAGTCCACACAAGCTGAAAGGGCTCAGACGATCCCCGGACCCTGTTGGCTCGATACACCACGGGAGACGGGGTGGAGATACTGGATCCTCTGCTGTGAAACCAGCCTCAGGCAGGTAATGTGCCAGTCTTCCTTCCTTGGTGAACTCCCAGATGGCATTAACCGCTGGATTAGGGAAGGGAGCGTTTTCGGTTCCAAACTCTCATTTTAAAGATGAGGAAACCGAGGCTCAGAGAGGTTTAGGGATTTTCACAAGGTCACATAACTGGTTGATGGCAGAATGAGGGAAAGTCCCCAATACCTGTTAGTGCCTCCCTCACAGCACCGTACCAGGAGGAGACCTTAATCTCAGTGCTGTATTGCGAGGGTAACCGTTGTGCTTCCTCTCCCTTCTTTATCACTGCTTCCTCTATCCCCTCGCCGATATCTATTGTTGCTCTCCTCTAAGGCTTATGTCCTATTTGTCCTGTTTGGCAAGGAAGGTTATGGCTTTCAAAAACAAAATTTCTTGGTTGACAGTTCCCTTGGAGAGAGCCTGACCACTCCCCTGCCGCTCACAGAGGAATCCCCACTCCAGCTTTTCACTGCTGCTCTCTTCCCGCCATTCCCTTCTCTGTTGCCTTTCATCCAGTTCTGAGAAAAATCTCATCTGATTCTCTTACCTCTTCTATTTTTTAATTTTTGTGGGTACATAGTAGGTATTATATTTATGGGGTACATGAGATGTTTTGATATTTCTCATGTGTCAAAAAAAGTATCCTTTGGGTTACAAAGAATCCGAGAACACATTTTAAGTTAGTTTAAAATGTGCAATGAAGTTATTATTGACTATGGTCACTCTCTTGGGCTTTCAAATAGTAGGTCTTATTTATTTTCTCTGTTTATTTGTTTTGGTACCCATTAACCATCCCCACCTTCCCTCCCAGCCTTTTACTACCCTTCCCAGCCTCTGGTCACCATCCTCCTACTCTCTATGTCAATGAATTCAATTGTTTTGGTTTTTAGATCCCCGAATAAGTGAGACATTGCCTCTTCGAACTCTCCTATTTCTTTTTCCTTTCTTTCCCCTCCCCATCTCCTCCCCTCCCCATCCTTCCCCTGCTTTCCCTCTCCTCTCCCCTCCCCTCTCACTTCCCTCCCCTCCCCTCCTCTTCTACCCTCTCCCTCTCTGTCTCTTTCTCAGTCACAAACACAAACTGTCTCTGCATGCATGCGCGCGCGCACACACACACACACACACACACACACACTCCTAAGGGTAGTGGTTTGAATTAATGACACTCGGTTCATGCAACATTGTCATTGCTGGTGTGGTGTGGGCAGGAAACTTCTTCTATTTTTTCCACTTATTCTTATTTCCATCTCCCCATAGACAATAATTCTATTAAACCAAATGTGTGTCTGTGAGTTCCTGCAAAGTGGGCATTGCTTAGGCACATGTCCGTTTTAAATGCTTGCGGAGGTGGCTGTGCTGTCTCACCCTGTTTCTTACTCCCCGCTCTGCACTGTTTTAAATACTCACCTGTATTGCTAAGGTTCCTCCAGTTGGAGGCTTCCAAGTGAGGCGTCCGCTTCATCTATGCCCGAACCTCAATACCACACTTTCAGATTGCGGCTCTACACTTGTTGCACCCCGGTCCTCATCCTGTTGCCCCCAGCTCTCTGACTCTCACATCCACTGTTTCCCCGAACTGCCTCACTCAGGACCCTGGCAGTGCCCCTGGGATGTCACTTTCAGTTCTGATTTTACCTGACCTAACTTCCATGATCCCCAAATCCCCTTGTTTTCTTAATTTTTTACCCCTCTGTTTTTAATAGTTATGTACGTTTTTCCTAGAACATGCTGATGTATTTTTTGATAAACTTCATTTTTTAAGAAGAGTTGTAGATTTACAGAACAATTTCAAAAGATAGTCCAGTGTTCTCATAGACCTCACATCCAGCTTCTATTATTAACTGCTCACATTAATATGGCACATTTGTTGTAATTAGTGAACCAATGCATTATTATTAACTAAAGCCCATACTTTGTTCTGATTTCCTTAGTTTTACGGTTGCCTTTTTCGGTTCCAGGATCACACACGACATCCAGTCATCATGTCTCCTTTGCCTACAGTTGAGAGAATTTCTCAAACCTTCCTCGCTTCTGATGACCTTGACAGTTTTGAGGAATGCCGGTCAGGTATTTTATAGACTGTTCCTCAGTTAGGATTTATCTGATGTTTTCCTAATGCTTGGACTGGAGGTGTGGGTTTTTGAGAGGAGGACCACAGAGGCAAGATGCCATTTCCATCAGGTCGTATGAAGGGTGCCTGCAGTCAACATGATGGATCACTGTTGGTGTTGACCTCGATCAGCTGGCTGACGTAGCGTTTGCCAGGTGTCCTCCACTCTAGAGGTTACTCGTTTTCCCTTTCCATAGTGTGCTCATTGGAAGAGAATCACTATGTACAGCCCACACTTAAGGAGGGGGCAATTGCATTACCCCTCCCCGAGGGTGCAATTAAGTTATTTGAAATTAACGTAAGTTAACTGAATGCAAGTTATTTGAGATTCTTCTGCATGTGAACTTTGTCTCTTCTTCATCTTTATTTATGCACTTGAACATTTATTTATACCAATTTGGGCTTATGGGCCAGGCATGGTGGCTCACACCTGTAATCCCAGCACTTTGGGAGGCCAAGGTGGGTGGATCACGAGGTCAGGAGATTGAGACCATCCTGGCTAACACGGCAAAACCCCATATCTGTTAAAAATACAAAAAATTAGCCGGGAGTGGTGGTGTGCACCTGTAGTCCCAGCTACTTGGAAAGCTGAGGCAGGAGAATCGCTTGAACCCGGGAGGCAGAGGTTGCAGTGAGCCAAGATAGTGCCATTGCACTCCAGCCTGGGGGACAGAGCAAGACTCTGTCTAAAAAAAATGGGCTGACTGATATTCATTTCATATTTTGATTTAGATAGAAAGTTGTTTTTTTTTCTCTGTCTCAAAATGACCCAGTGCTGGTCGTTGGGAGCTCTTCCAGTTGACTACTGCCTTTTGACATAGCTCATGATTGTGGTTTTTTTTTTTGAGTACTTCCTTATTTTTTTTGGCACTACAAGATGCCCCAGGCTCATCTTGTGTGTGTGTGTGTTCTTTTTTTTTTGAAACGGAATCTTACTCTGTTGCCCAGGCTGGAGTGCAGTGACTCAATCTCAGCTCACTGCAACCTCCACCTCCCTGGCTCAAGCGATTCTCTTGCCTCAGCCTCCTGAGTACCTGGGACTACAGCCTGGCTAACTTTTGTATTTTTAGTAGAGATGGGATTTCACCATGTTGGCCAGGCTGGTCTCAAACTCCTGACCTCAAGTGATCTGCCTGCGTCAGCCTCCCAAAGTGTTGAGATTACAGGCGTGGGCCACCGCACCTGGCCCAACTCACTTTTCTTTTCCCTTTCTGTTAATGCTTCTGTCCCCTGCGTGTTAATCATGGGGGTTTCCCAGGAATTAATCGCACTTGCAAGTCAATAACAAGGAGTTCTTACCCTGTACAAGAACTTCGTAAGATCAAAAGCGAGACAGAGTCATGGAGTTTACAGTCAGGCATGGGAGAGGGATGGATACAAACAGCACAAGAGCAGAGAGGGGACAGAGAAGCCAATCCGTGAGGCATCTCTGAGGAACTCACGACTAGTTCAAACGGTGGGATCTGTGAAGTCTCTGAGCTGAGAGTTGAAAGAAGAAGGGTGGCGCTTTCTCTGTGGTCTGTTTCCAAGCCTATAAAACCTTCCTTGACTGCGGTGCCCAAGCAGCCATCTCTCTCGGAGGAGTCAGTGCTGGTCCTGCCGTTTGCATCCCTCCTCCTCCTCAGTGCTCCTTCCTTTCTGTGCGAACATGAGCAGTCCCTGTTCTCTCCCCTACTCCCTGGAGCCCTGAGATATTACATTACGGGATATTTTGTGCTAATATTTATTTCTTAAGTTAGGTGTGGGTGCACGGGAGTTTATCACTGTATTCTTCATTCCTTTGTATATGGCTTGCATATTTCATAATAACATTTGAAAGGTGTTTATGAAAAAAACAAAAAAAAAAAAAAGAAAAGAGACCTGTCTGTGGCCCTGGTCTGTGTGGCCTTGTGCCCTCACTCTGGGAACCACGGCTCTGCCAGATGACTGCCACTCCCAGCCTGCAGCCAGGGAAAGTGCGGCTGGTCTGGGCCAGATGGGTCTGCGGGCGCCTGTCTGACCAGGTGTTGCATGGATGTTGATATGACTCAGTACCTAAATGGTGTGGCAGAGAGATACCTATCCCCTCCCCACTCTCCTTGTCCCCCTCATCTCCATGACCCACCTCTGACTTCTGTAGAGCCTCAGAGCTGTGACATAGTGACCACCCTTCCCTACAGCAGGTGCTTGTTGCTAGTGCCATCCTGCAAGGACCGGGCCAGGACAAGTCTGAGGCATTAACCCCCTGTCTTGTGGCAGCATCTCTGCCTCTGTACTGACCTGACTCGAGCTTCCTTATCTCCCATCTAAAGCTATTTGTGAACGAAAACCTGAAAAGGGCAGATCTAGGTCTGGCAGCAATCGAGGAAAACCAAAGGTCCTGCCAGCAGCCAAGGTAGGTAAGAGGCCAAACGGCATCAACTGATGATGCTGCCCAGGGATAAGATAGAATGAGAAGGACGTCAGCCTCTAGTGCATGCACGCTGGTAACTGTCATGTTATATTTGCAAGGATAGGTTATTCAGCCACTGGTGCCGGGAAATTCTGTCTCTGAACTAGTTACAGGGGCTGGTGGCTCCTGAAAAGACCTCTTTAGATAGAGTGAGAGATTAAAGATGTCTATGGTTTCTTTTCTTTTGAATTGCTTGGCTGGTAGAACATAGCAGAAGTGAGATTCTGGGATTTCAGGTGAAGGCTTGAAGCTTCTGCACAGTTCTTTTGGTATACTCTCTCTGGGGGCCTTGATCTGCTATGCTGGGATTCTCACTATCCTGAGACTGCCATGCTGGAGAGGCTACATGCAGGCCCTTTGCTCATCAGGAGCAGCTAAGTCAAGCCTTTTAGCCACACCCACTGAGACACCAGCCATGAAAATGAAACCACCTTGGATCCCAGATCACAGAGCAACCCCAGCCAATGCCGACAGAGCAGAAGCCTTGCTCAGCTGAGCCGACAACACAGTGAGATAAAATAAAGCAACGGCTGTCTTAGGCTGCTAAGTTTTGAGATCGTTTGTTACACAAAAACAGATAACCAAGATGGCCAGGGCACCTCTATTCAGGCCACCAGCTCGACAACCAACTTCTAATTCCTGCATCAATACGAGAGATGGGGGATCACAGCTCATTCTCAAAACTACTGGACAGAGGGGCTGGAGCCACAATGGGAAGTGCTGAGCATGTCTTTGAAAGGGTGTTCCAGAGGCTTTTTTGCTTGGGATGGTTCTATGAGTCCTATCGGTGAAGTGCTTAAGTAAATAGGAAAACTGACCTAGGAATGGCCTCCAGATGACGAGGCAAAGTGTGCAGAAACTGAGAAGGGGTGTGAGTCTGGGAGGGGCAGTGCCAGGGGGCTGGACAGCGCCTGGAAGAGGAAGGTCCTTAGAGACACATAGGAGGGAGCTAGGTTTTGGGAGGAGGACATGGGGTGAATGCTGCCTTAAGGGAAGCAGAGGGCCGTGGGAGGCACGGAAAGGACAGGCAGCCTTGAGCTGGTGTCTGGCCAAGGGTTGTAGCAGTCTTTGGGCGGGCGTCTTCCCCCGCTCCACCCGCGGCTATGCTGGGCTCTTTAAAGAACTCTGCCGGGTATCCAGATGAGCTCACACAAACAGTGCAGGTGCAGGCCTGGCCCGTAAACCACAATGACTGGGGCCTGTGCTGCCACAATGCACCGGGCAAAGCCTCCAGAGGGGGAGAAAGGGCGATTATTTGTTAAGCATCATCAGCAAGAGTTCCAGAACCTGTCAAAAGCAAAGCAGAAACTTTTGTATTAAGGAGATTAAACTTTAAACTCAGCTGAGAAGGCTCTGCTGTTTGAGTGGCTTTGTTGTGCCCGGCATTGTGTGATTATATGCAAATCACCAGGAGGCCTCCCTGGGGTCCCGACCACAGAGGCTTAGCTGCCCATGGGTGGGTGTGAGGGACAGGGGGCAGCCCATGTGCCGGTCAGGTGGTACCCAGTAACCCCAGTCTGGGGCAGCCTGCTTTCCCTTAAGTTCAAGGAATTGGGGATTTGGAAATATGTTTAGTGTGTTGGCCAGAGGTTTCTGGTGGATGGGTAGGAGAGCGGGGACAGAGGTGCAGCTAGGAGGGTATTAGTGGAAATCGAAGGCAGTGTCCAGTTCGGACAGGGAGGTTCTCATATCCAGGGACCCTCTGACCACAGCAAGCCTTTTTCAGCATTCTCTTTTGGAGCTTAGGGTAATGTATGTGGTCACCAATGTATGATGGGGGCACATGTTGGTTTTTCTGTGGCCATTCAGAATAAGGACTTGTGGGGATTATCCTGGGTTTATTGATCCAGAAAATGTTTGATGTTTACTCTTGGCAAGGTGCAGTGCTAGGTGCTGGGGTGCTGGGGGTAGTGGGTGAGAACAGAGATGAACAGAATGTCTCTGTTGTTGAGGAGTTTACAGATAAGATATTTACCTGGATAACTAAAATACCTGGCAACATCTGGTAAACGCTGTGGGAAATGGCCCATGGGAGTGCCTGGCTTCAGATAGATGCTAATTGAAGGGGTCGAGGAAGGTTTCACAGAGGAAGAACAGAGCCAGGCCAGGGGCAGAGGCTGCATGAGCCAAGGAGTTCCTGCTGAGAGGGGCAGGGTACAGGCTGGCCGCGTGCCCTGGCTCACATGGTATCTCAGGGGCTGGGGAAGGCAGACTGAATCTTGAGGCCCGAGTTCTAGGCTAGAATTTGGCTCGCACAAATTGGAGTCAGACGTCTAACCCACAAAGTTAGGTCTAGGGACTCCAGGACCCCGTGTCAGCACCTGCAGAACTGCTATCAGGGTGACACTAGACACCTCTGTGTCCCGTCTGCTGATGCTGCTATGGCTGCCCTGGCATCCCCCTTCGCCTCTTCCTTTAAGCGGCGTCTGCAGCTGCTTCTCAGCCATTAATAAGAGGGTCAGCTTGGACATGTCCAAGGCCCTACTTCCTGGTGGATGTACAATGTTGTCTAATACAGGCAGAGTCATAGCTGCCAACTTCCCTCTGCTGGGGGGCTATGGGCCTGGCTGGCGTCCCATAGATCTGAGTCAAGCATGAGAGTGGAACGAGCTTGGTCCGTGGGCTAAGAGACATGTTGCGGATGCAGATCATCAAAGATATGACTAGGGCTGAAAAGAAAACCCAGGAAGGCTGAGTAGCTAAGCTATCATGAGAAACTGGACAAGTAAGAGACCCCAGGATGGAAACTGCAGAGTGTTGCCTG